CATCGCTCTTTGAGGAATTTCTTGAGAAATTTTCTACTTCTTTGATAGTATTCATGCAATTTTATTGTTTTCGATTTCTACGCGTGATGAAATTCATATAATGGTTACTTCGTTGCTTTTCTTTACTGATAAATATACAATTCTTAGAACTTGATAATGAACACGTCTATAGTATTGTAAATATATACCGTTTTAATAATCTGGTGTATTTTTTAATATATTTTTTGTATTCGTGTATGTATTTTATATATAATACGTTGTATGTTACTCTTTCATATTGTTAATAATCATATTATGTTAATAAATAATTATCCACAGTACGAAAATAGAAAATTATTAGCATATGTAACTTAACACATTCGAGATCGATAATATAGTCCTACGACATTTTGAATTTTTTTTAGAAGAATTCTAATAACTTACGTCATTTTACAGTTTTACGAAGGTGGTAACTGGTTGAATAAAATATTCGGTTATCGACAGGTTCTATCTGTTCTCTAATTAAAAGTAAATAATACATTTTCAATACATTTAATAACCCTTTGCGGTCGAATGTCACCGTAATAGCGACTTAGAGCTTCAATGTGTAAAATCGAAAACTGCAAATGAATAGTTCAATTATTCCACTAACGAGAAATTGACACATGACTCTTTTTCATTTAGTATTTAAGACTTCGATGCATAATATAGAAGTTTAAGATGACGTGTATACTCGGCAAAAGCAGTTAATCGGTTAAAGAGCCTTCGTCCGCAAGGGATTAAATTTATACAAAAAGTTGTGTTACCTGTACATAACCAAACACTTTCTCTTGTCCCTTCCTTTCCTCCATGTTTATCCAAACGAAAACGTTTGACTGGTCCATCGAGGCCAACAATCGCAGCCAGAAGTCGGTGTTTTCCCCGCAACTGCACTGTCTTCCTTGAATTAAACCATTTCCGTCCGCGAGCTTTCGCCTGGTCGTACCGGACCGGTCCAAATTCGTGCTAGTTCGAGTCTCCGTGACTCATCGCGGCGAGGTTTTTATGGGTGTGCATGGTGTGTTGTGCCAGCTGACTTTCCAGACACGGTGCTGAATGCACGCCGAAAAGGGAACCTGTCGGTTCTTATTCGCGGAAGAACGAAGGGAATATGGAGCCGGAAAAGAGCTAAAAGCGATGTTTCGGGTGTACCGTTGAGAGATCACTTGAGATCACTTGATGTTCAACGGGACGAATCAGAGACAGGAGGGATCTTTTGCCGAGTATTCTGTTTATAGTTTTGATTAGTTAAGTGTAATCGTATTAAGGAACAGCAAATTAGCAACGCAAATGAGATGAGGGTAGACCAATTAGACCTATGTTCCTCAGTGTAGCCATCAAGTGATCTCTCTAGAGTACTTTTGGATGACTTGATGTCTAGTGAGATTCAGAGCAAGAGGAGTCTTTTGCTGAGTGTTGTGTTTATATTTTCATTGGTCACGTGTAATCATATTGACGAATAGGGAATTGGCATCGTAAATGAGATGAGAACTGATCAATCAAATTCACATTCATCAGTCTAGTCATCAAGTAATTTCTCTACAGTACTTTTGGGTGATAACTGGATGTCTAGTGGGACGAATCAAAGATAAGAGGGATGTTTTACTGTTTTGTTTATACTTTTAATTGGTTACGTATGACCATATTGACGAATAACAAATTAGCATTGAAAGTGAGATGAGAACAGATGAAAACTGACCAACCAGAGTCACATTCCTCAGCCTAGCCATCCAGTGATCTCCCATCAGTACAGGTGCGGCGCAGAATGAGGTCGAGCCGCAACGGGGAATGTGACGCAAGGGTAAACAGTCGGAAGCGAATAGACCTACAAAAGGAGGGTGCCGATGAATTAATTCAGAGGTTTGAAACTCACAGAGAATAAACATTTTTTTTAATTTTGTACCTGTATATGTATGAAGTTCCCATATGCGAACAGTCATAAAATGCACTAAGTAACATTGTTTATTAATATTTTCTTATTTATTTCATTATCACGCCAACATTTAAATAGAGTCACAGTCATATATATTTTCCAACCCTTTGTCTCATTGCCTCTGTGTATATATTTACCCTAAAAGTTCAGGATTGATAATAGACAAGTAATACTTCATTTAAATGAAAAATAAATAAGTAACATTTAAACTTATTGAATTCGGTTGAAAATTTCCATCACGAGTTTGACTCGATATTACTGGAGAAGGGTCTCCTGTGTTTCGTCAATCGGTGTCTTTTTAACATTAAAACTACCGGACTGGTCAAATTGACTCGCTTCCGAATTTTTATTTTACAAGTATTCAAATTATGAAGGTGTTTTTGTGAAAGATTTTCAATTAAATTTGCATATTTGCACAGATAGAAGACTAGGAGGCCCTTCAAATCTCAAGAAACCTATTGGTTTAATTTTTATTAAAAATTGGAAATAAAGCACTCTGATTGCTCCGTAGTTTTAACGCAAGGAAAAGCGTTCCCGAGTCTCGGAGTATAATAAACAGAACAAGAATCACGCTGATAGGGGTGGTCCTTCTAAATTGTGCCCTTCTCAGGGTACTCGTGTTATATCCTTCGTGGTGACACCGTCGAAGTAAAAAGGTTCTACCTAACACAGTTTCCCAGCATTATTTAAGCCCTCAAACGCCTATCTTACACACGGGACATCCATTTCGCAGTCCTAGCTCGTCACAGAGACAGCCTCTTCGGCTTCGCGGTATAAATACACCGGCGCGGCGGAACGAACGAGCTTTTACCACGAACTGAATGGGCAACTCCCCTTCCGGCTTCGATCCCTTCTAGTCTATCTAACGCAGGCTAATCGAGGGAAATCGTCTTCAGCGGGGCACTGCGGTCTATCTGGCATCGAATCTTCACGGCGGATTCACCGTTTACCATTAATTATTGCCCCCGTGACGCGGCGCTCGTTCACCCGCCCATCCCCCCGATAATCGTCGCTCGTTTTCCCTTGGATCGCCGCGGCCGCTCGCTAATTTGCTCTGTCTAACAAAGGAAGTTATCTCATCGCACCGTGACCGATCTTTATACCTACCTCCGCGATATGTGGAAAATATGCGATATGCATATTACGATGCGTGTCGCGTGCGTGCGCTCCGCGTTCGCTGGGTCCTCTAGCTTAGCTGCTGGCGTTTGTTGGTAACCGAGCTGGCTAGCTCAGCTTGGAATTTAATCGAGGACTGTCGAGTCACGAAGGTTTATTTCATGTTTTTTTCTGCTTTTGTGGTAATTGGTCAAGGGAAATGTTGAATGTAGCGATAAAATTGAATGTTGGTTTTATGATAGCGGTGTAGGAATGAAGAATTTGGTATATGGAGTTGGTCGTTTGGATTAGGGTATGCATCTGTGGTCTGCAGGAATTATTTAAATGGAATGTGGAAAATGGGAATGGAAAGGGTATTGTTAAAATAATGGATGATAATTGTTTTTGACATATTGGCAATATTGTTATAATAGAGAAATGCTTATTCAATTGATGTTAAATAAGTAATAATTATTTAATATTGATTATTTAATTTTATAATTTTATTATGCCAAACCAGATAGTGATTGTGAGACCAATAAAGATTTTTCTTGACACTAGTAGCTATGACACCTTTTAAAATTTTGACTTCCAATGCTTTTCTAAGTTTAATCATTCTATAATGACTATAAAATGACCATATTTATAAATTAAATTATAGGAAAACTAGGAAAGTCAACTGAGAAACAACAACTAAACTTAGAGAATAATTTTAGGGATTTAAAAAACTGTATCTTTCAACACCTTTGGTAATAGCAACTTTAATGCGGGAGGTGCTTCAATTATTTTGTCCAATTCTCCCAGCTATTACGCGTGAGAGAAGTTATTTCAGGCCAAGTGGTTAATCGTAAGTGCGACTCCACACGCGTCGCGTGCAGTTGCATTTTGCTGTGATGTAATTCGGGTCATTGACTCATCGATAGGAATACTATATATCGGCTTGGATGAATCGTCGGGAAAGATTGATCGGTTGAAATCGAGCGGCCAGTGATATTGATCGGGCCCGGTCCGAGTCGTGACATCTACTCGATAAATCATCTTCGGAATACTTGCTCGCGTCCGGGATTTCAGTTATTAATCCTGGTATATCGAGTTACCAGCGGATTTTTGCTTGAGATCTACGGCATTTGTAACATGTTATTTGCTATGTATTGTCTGAAATCAATTTCACTTGATTTTTTTTCTGATTTAATTCGAATCTGTGATTTAAATGAGCCATTTAACCTTAGTAACCTTTTATAGGGTAATATTGTTGTCATTTTGTTCCTATTAGATATTGTTAATTGAGAGCTAAGAAAATGTAACGCTTTGCACTGGGCAATATTTTTTACTATAAATATTTTATAATGTTGTATAAACATTTTTTCTTTTGGTTTATAAGCTTTGTGATACATCAAGGGTTGATGTTATCAGCAACAAAGAATTGTTCCTTTTCTTTTTAGATTCGACATTTTTTATAGAATTTTTAAAATTTCTGTAAGAATTAATTTGATTAAAAGAACGGGTCCTGTATCAAATTTTAATATTACAATAAAATTAGTTTTCATATAAATCTTTCAATTACAAATAAAGCACTGTATTATAATAATTACATTACATAGATATTCAATTCGTTTATTTACAACATTTATAATAACTATACACATATACAGCAATACTATATATTTATAATTTAAACATTTGCATATTTCATAAAAGCATATAGTACCATATAAAACAGCTACTATCGGTTAATTATAAGAATGCAACTATGAGAGTCGACCGTTGGAATACTTTCATTACTCTTTCACGCTGGGGTGTTTTCTTTATCTCGTTTCTCATTAAGCAATGGAGATTAGTTTTTTAATGAGAATCACCGTAGTGACCATTTCCGATTCTAGAAATGGACACCTGGTTCCCATCGTCCCAGCGACATTCATTCAATGAAACATTCCAGGGAAATAGGTCAAATTGGATAACACATTAACCGTGAACGTTACCAGGCGTTGCCGTGTGTTAAGAAATCCCGACGACATACTTCTTCGCCGTGGAGTATGAAGTCGACGGTCGTTAACCCGTTGTAATTAACGAAGAACCAGCTATGGTCAGACGATCTGGATTTTAAACGATCATTGCATTCGACGAAGAAGGAGAACGAGAATCACAGATACGATCAGTAAGAATTTCCGGTCATTTGTCCGTGATCGCTACCCTCTATCTCATTGTCTGCTTTTCAGTTATTTTTCGAATTTCAACGCCATTCCGAACACTAGCTGAAAGAAGCAAGAAAAAAGTAGAGTAATTCCAGTTGAGATGGCTCGAACTTAGTAAAATTGTCAAATATTTTCAATTTTCTTTTCTTCCTTTTTTATTTGAGTTTATGTTAACACATTGTTGACCGGTAAATTTACGCAGAGCTATCTCATGTCACTGGTTAATATTCCATAATTAAATATGAAAGTGAGACAATCTAAATAAACTTCAGTTCACTTTATTTATATATAATGAATTGAAATGAAATTTCGGACATATCTTTTATATAACTTTGAATACAGTTTGCTTTTGCAATTTTTGCAAAAATTGAAATAACTGATGCAAGTGTAAGCATGATGTATCAACAATGTAAGGTGGTCACATTAAGAGTAAAGTCATTAGTGACTACCAACACTTGGATACATTACTTATTATTTAATAATACTTATTACATAATGGCTTATTTATAATAATTTACTAGTTGTACGAATAATAATACAAAATTAACGGAATAGATATATATTAATTATAATGAATTTAGAAGGTTTAATTGTCTGAAAAACTTAAGCACATTATGAATACTGTTGGGATCGAGTGGTATCTCGGTTCCTTAATTGATGCGGCACATTTTTATGCGATAAATTAGAACACTATTTACGCGACAGTTTTTATGCTCGATTTGAATTTAGTAAATATCACCAAATGAAGTTTACTTTTATAAATATGTATTTCTAAACCTTATACCAGCCTTTCTTTTCAATATTTTGTTTTCTGTTGTACCAACAGACTCTATTTACGCGACTTTCATTCGCGTAAAATGAAGCCACGTGGAACAAATTTTCGCGTAAATCGGGTCAGAAAACCGATTTAACTATATTCTTATACACGTATATTAATTTTTATAAATATATTTTGTTTTGTTAGATTTATCGATAATATTTATGATGTAATAGTTCTTCTGTAAAAATTGGACCATTTCTCCACGACTTACTCATGTATTATCATATCTTAGAAAAGTTTCGTGTTATTATTATCTCAGTTCTTACGAAATTGTAAAGTCGGAATATTTTCAGCTTGTCAGGTGAAAGGTTATCAGTAGACTGCTAGGAAATCAGGTAGCCTTATATTTTCGTATACAGTGGGACAGTTATAAATAGAGAAAATCGTTATACATGATTTATTCTGATTCTCATTAAGAAATAAATATAATAATGCTTGTAAGTATTTGTGAACAGTGAAGGTGTATTATTGTATTATTGGAAATTAAAATAATATTATATAAATGTTGTGTTTCTGATACTATTTATTAAGTTATTACATTTGTTATTTATTTTAGAATTATTAATTTTGGTTTATGTGGATTGAATATTGATTACATAATAAAGAGTAAATATTAATTATAATGAAATTTGTTGAAAACCTTATTATCTTGGGATAATTCAGTATTAGATATCAGTTGATTACATTAGTGTTACAATTATTGGTCAAGGTACTAGTTACAATTTAGTAAAATCATGCATTAAATATAATGCATTATTTATGCATTAAAAATAATGTTCAAGGAATAATGTATATTCTAATGAATTACTATGCAAATTAGCAGTATCATAATATGCATAAAGCAATATTTATATCTTCACCAGTATGAATGTTCAATTATAATAAAGCATCTGCATTTTAATTGTTTTCGAAAGCATTTTATTTGCTCACAACTATATATTAATCTCAATTGAATCAAAATATACCTTACCTAAATTCTTCTATAATATTTAAATAAGGCATTTTTAACTATTAAGAAATATTAATACAAGTTTTGAATCAAGTATCATTTTTTACGTCATTAAATTTTAATCACAAAAGAAGATAGAAATTTTTATCAGTTCATCTAAGATGCATCACTATAAGATGCTCTTCTTATTAGAAGTATTTTCTCTATAAGCAACTCGTATATACAATACTGTTTTTTTTTCGTTGTATAATGCAGTTGGTTCATTACAGCTAATTACGTATTCAGACATTGTCCGCTATTGTTCAAGGTTGTCCAACGTAACTAATTCACTAACAAGCTACTTAATTATTGAAGAAACAAATAAAATGCGAATAAACAAATAGTAAATGTAACGCTACCATGTTTTCCTTCGTGAAACTTGTATAAAATGTAGGCATTTATAACGTTCATGTAAACATAGTATTTTATGTTTAATTTAATACTTGCACACTAGATTTTCATATATACTCATTCTTTTCTTGTTTGTCTTTTTTATATTAGTCACGAATTGTCATAATTTTGTATTTTGTCTCTTAGCTTGAATTATTATTAACATTGTTGTCATCATCATCATCATTATCATCATCATCATTATCATCATCATCATCATCATCATCATCATCATCATCATCATCATCATCATCATCATCATCATCATCATCATCATCATCATCATTATTATTATTATTATATAAGAAAGTCGAGTTGGAGACTCGAAATTGATTACGTAATAAGTTAATTTCACATTCGATAGCCGACAGTAAGTGATCCTATTTAATTATCATTTGTCGTTAATTTATCGTTAAAATCGATCGTTATATTTTCAGTTAACATTCAAGAATCTATTGGTATATACGGTGTACCGGTAACACCCAAAGGTTTAATTTATTCCGGTACTATCAGTTCTTTTTATTGTCAGCATTTAAAATTACGATTTCAAAACTATATAATTAATTATGAATTAGTTTTTTGCAATAAGAAAAGCATACCTTACTGTCTCTAATAAGAAACGGAGGAAGTTTATTTTAACATATAAGTCACGACATCATGCATACATTATCGTTGAACAATTTTCAAATTTATTTTCTTCATAGAATAGTTATTTTTTTATCGGAATACGTGGGTTCCTAACATGGAGCACATTCCATATTGGGTGCATATACTTCGTTAATGTTACATATTATTATGTTATATTTTTATTTTATGACGGCAATTACAAATGATGATAATGACAAAAAATATGTCGAATGCACTATGTTGAAAAAGAATGTAGCAGTCTGGATGTGCTACTCACATGTTCAGCGCATGAAGGAAAAAATAATTAACATAATATAAGTTCAAAAAAGTTGAAAATTCGTTTATTTATCCTTTTCAATTTTATAAATATTCATTTCTCGCGATAAAAATGAGTTTCGTTTACAAATTACCTAGGTGTTCCATATTAGGTGTAATTTTTTCGGATCGTTGTTTTTCACTTTATTTATATTTGTTTACCGTGGTTTGAAAGCATTAAAATTTCTACATTGTTATCAATGAGTGTATAAATGTTTATTAATTTATTCGTTTGATGCAGGTTTTGTTGAAAATGCATATTGCTCGTTTCAGCAAAGATTTCAAAATCAGATGTTCCATATTAGGTGCCGTTATCCTATATATTGATCACAATGTAACTCTTATCAAACGGTCAAGTATCAATCACATTATTTTCAATGACTCATTCCACGAATTGCGATCGCGTAGGAGGAACCGCACGACGAATCCCCAGCGCCGTTTCAGTGATACGACAGGAGGAAAGTAGAAAGTCGCAGGCCAGATGCCACATTTACTGGTTTTACGCGTTAATCGGACGTGAAACGCGCCGGCACACACGCGATTCACCCGGCTGAATTGATACTGCCGAACCGAGAGCGGCGCGGCTCTCATTATTGCATTACGCGCGCCGAGCATATACGCGTTCACGCGCGGTGCTCGCGAGTCAGTGTCTATCCGGCGAATCGACGGCCGCACGTTTACCTTGTACTGGGATAACGGTACTATCCTGATTCGCGTTTTCGCTGCTTTTTAACACCAAAAGTAATCGACATTTTATGTATAACCATTCCTACCGTAAAAAGCTGTATAATTAGTTACAAAATGAAGGAAAACAAATTAGACGACCAATTCTTCTTAATGGAAACTGATACAAAAGGAAAGAGGAAAATTGAAAAATTTATTAACTGGAAAATATGAGAATTGATGTAGAGTTTAATGGACGAAAGAGAACGCAGAATTTTCAATCAAATTTGAAACTGGTCATATGACCGGTCGCGGTACTTTTAATGTTAATCCATGTCCTTGGAATTCTATTTTCAACAAATCACTCTAGTTCGAATTGAAGAGCATTCGTAGAAAACCATAAGCACGGTGAACATAAAATTTTTCAGGAGAAAAGAAAAGCTTTTTCCTGTTATCTTCCTCAGATAATTTACAATTCGTTTTGCTCACAAAATATTCAGTAAATTGTTTTAGCGCTTTCTTAATAGGAACACATGAATTACCGGACAGGTAAAAAATAACTCATTCCTAATTTGTTCTTTTTGCAAGTACTGAAAAGATAACATGATTCTCTGAGAAATTACTTATCATTTAATTATATTTAATTATAATTAAATTAGCGTTAATATGACGATACTTCGTCTTTGGATTGTACCTGAAATTTCTTTCTGTTTTTGTTCGAATGTATTTTGCGGGGTCTTTTTGTAATGTTTGTATTAAATAATTTGTTGGCTAGGTTATTCGGTCTCATCTGCAGTCTGGCTTTGTATCTGTTTCAGTAATATTCTATTTTTTCTCTGATACATTTGATTCCTAGGACTTTCCGTTAAGGGAAGTTTTTCTTACATAAAAAGTTAGTCGAGAAAAGCAGAGTTTACAAAGGTTTCGAAACTAATTGCTTGAAACTGTATATTGGTTCTAACTGAAACGTTTATAGAAAACCGAAGTGAAATCATAACTGTTAAGCTATATCGGTCCTGTAACTGTTATTTTTTGATTCTGCATTTCGGTTCTGAATTTCTTTCGGTTTGTTATATACAGATACTTGATTAACAATTTCAGACATTGTTAAATAACTAATAATTAGGAAAACAATTGCTTTTATAGATTAATGCTAGAACTATCGAACGTTTAATACGATTAATATATAATCCTCATAAAAATTGTAACAATCCATTTTCTATTCGTTTATTCATATATTCATTATATTAAAGTGAA